TTTTTTCCTTGCCCTCTTCTCCTGTAGCATCTCACTGTCCAGACCGAGTCTGAAGGAGTTCAGGGACAATGCAGAACAGCAGCATCGCTGCCCAGCAAAAAGTGCCCGCAGGTAAGAAAGAAACAAAAGCAACTTTATATCCTTTCCCACACTTCTTCCACACAGTAACAAGTAGCACAACAAATTGCTTTTAATGTAGTCACTTTTTTTAAATCACAAGCACGCAGGCCCCTATCACCGGCTTACACAGAGGTCTGAAATCATTATGAGAGAGAGAGAGAGAGAGAGAGAGAGGTTTCAAGACAACATGAAGTATCTTGCAGAAGAGCAAGGAGGCTCAATAGTCACTGCATGGATGTTGCATCAGCCTCAAACACAGTAATGTGATTTAATGTGGCGAGGGTAAACACAAAAATTGTCAAACCAACACCTCCTGTGTTCTCTACAATCCTAAAAGGGATTGTTGTTTGTTTCTCCACGGCTACTGTGCTGTAAGGTTTCTCTGTAATTCTGTCTGTCAGCATCTCTAAAGACACGGTCTGTCTCGTTTGTTTAATCAGTACGATTATAAATGGTGAATGTGGTCAGAAATGCTAACGCAAACCTTTTGACTGTCTTCTCTGCAGCATGCACACACACACTCGTCAGGCTTCTTCATCACTCAAGACTCCTCGTTTGGGAACCTCATCCTCCCTGTCCTTCCACGCCTGGAGCCTGATTCTTGACCTTTTTTACCTCTCGTCCTCCTCCTGCGGTGTGAGACAAAGCTTCGAAACGACATATGTGCACATCGGACCCATGTCTCTCCCGGTTTCCTCTTTTAATTCTGTTATTAATGGACAGTGGTTTGTTGTGTTGTAAACAATCTCAGGGGAGCGAGACTATCATTTTTACATTTCCCAGACTAACATACTGGCTGCTAAATTCTGGAAAGCTTTCAAGAGTCAGAAAACGCTTCCAGATAGCTGTGAAACATTCTGTCAAGTCGTCCAGGGGGTCTACAGAAATACTATAGACCTTTCTCGGCACCAATCACATCCATAATCCATTAAATGCACATTTTGTCAGGATTTTTACATTTGTAGTGGATTTGAATAATAAAATAGTTGCATTTAATTTATATAGAGTATCTGTTTATTTCTACTTCAATAATAAAAAAAAAAAATAAAAAAAAGTAATACTAAATGGTTTCGATGATAGTCCCAGAGGATCTAGGAACAAGAGCTTATTATTTCTAGAGTCACAATATTGCACCGATGTTTCACAACCAAACAAGGACAAATCCACTGTAGAGGAGGCAGAAAGATTTCTACACCCTTAGTAGCAGAAATGGAACCAGAATCTAATGCAGTCACATGATCAGAAGAGATTGTGGAAAAGTTGGTACTACAAAGAAAATTACAACATCCTGCCAATATCATTTGTGGAATAAGTTGAACACAACAGACTGATGGCACAGCAGAAGAAGTGAATCCCTTGACGTGAGTGTTGGATTTTCTCTTTATATGTTCAGTCAGAAGGAGTCGGTCAGCAACTGTTGTCTGTTTGTCACTTTGACACAATGGGCAGCAGTTCGCCTTTTGCCTTCATTGTTTTGATCTTGGCCTTAATGCTGTCATCCATCGCCTGTCGGCAGCGATGGCGTAACGTGCCAGCGTCTCCTCTTTCTCATCCCACGGTGGCAGTGCGTGAAACACCTCTGGAGCGGCCAGACTGAGCTCAGCTATGGCAGCTGTACGGGAGATGGTGTTGCGGTCCACGCCCACCCGGTCGAAGGCCACCTTCATGGAGACGCTGTGGCGAAACTCTTTGAGGGCTGCCATGTAGCGCGCTATCACACCCACCACGTTTTTCACTGGAGAGGAGACATACAGGGACATGTGACAGAGATAAATCAACACATACAAAAACTGATAACTGCAGTATTTACTAATAACCATACATTCTGCTCTATGGGCACTTATAATCAAAGTTGTTATCGTTAATCTTCCTTATTGTGTCATGTCCTTACTCCTGACTCGAGTGTTTTCCCCGTCCCGGCTCCTCTTCGTCTTCAGGGTCCGGTGGCGCTCCACAGGGTGAAGCTCCATTTCCTCAAATGAGTCAAACAGCGGCGGTGAATCAAATTCTTCCACATCATCAGGAGAGGTCATTTGTGAACTTCCCGGTTCTGTCTGATTAGAGCAGCGAGACCACCGCTTCTCTAGGATTAGAAATAGAACAATGGCAACTTTGAAATTTGGTTTATGTTATAAGATGCCAATAAAAGTAAAACAGTGCAGCAAGAGAAACACAATGGGCAGCAGTTTTGCCTTCATCGTTTTGATGACTTTATTAATCCCACAAGGGGAAAGTCAATGTTAGTATTTTACACAGGTCTGAAATACACACACATGCACAAACAGGACCTATAGCAAGAACACGTGGAGAGATGTCAGAGCGACACTTGGTACGACGTAGCGAGCGGTTGGGGGTTCAGAGGCTTGTTCAAGGCCACCTTTGGCAGTGTCCAGTAGGTGAAATACCACCTCTCCAGTCCACATTCCGTATCTGTGGTCCGAGTCCAGTTCCAGCCAAGGCCTTACGGACTGAGCTACTGCCGCCCCTTAGGTAAATATATTAGCTAAGTATAGTTCAGAGTATTTTTCAATGGCATTTTTATTTTATTTTTCATTTTGACACTCCGGGACCTCCATACTTTCATGTAGACAGTTCAAAGTACTAAACTGCTGATTAGTATAGTAGTATAGTTTTTTTCTTAATGTTTGCATCTCTTTTGTTAATATGTGTATAATTGTTACGTGAGGAACTTTGATAAATGGTACAGTGTAGTCACTTCATTCACCAACAGGTGGGTTTTCCAAGCAAACTCTTACCTGGCCGCAGTTTGTCCTGCAGGAAGTCGCAGATGAGTTCGGCTTTTTTAGTGAGTTCATGCTGCAGCAGCTCTTTGTCCTGCTTCAGGCTGGTGATGATCTCTGTCATCTGCTGGTTGTGGCTGCGTTCGGCACAAAGTAACGCTCGCAACTTTTCCAGCTCATTCTGCCTCCCTGCAGAAACGAACAGGAAGCCAGACAGTTGGGTACAAAGACACACATACATATACTGGGTAAGAAACTGTTTTCTGTATTGTTTTGAATCATAAAATAATCTTGTGTTTTATTAATAATAATGTATTCTTGTGTTTTAACTTTTGGGGAAAACCGCCTTTATTTACCACTCAGATGAAAAAAATATCCAATCAAAGCGTGCAGTCTCTATCTCTACATGTTTGTCCATGCTGTACCTGCAGTCTGTTCTGTAGTCTCTGTGGCGGATCTGCATCTCTCGGCCTGCTCTGTGGTCCCTGCCATGCAGCTGCCTCCTCCTAGCAGCTCCATCTCTGGGTCCACTAACCCCAGATGCTGCCCATGCTGGGGCTGGGGGAAGCGTGGGAGGGGCTTGTTGGGCAACAGTGTGAGAGTGATTTGAGAGTGTGTGCTTTGTGCCTGACAAGCCTGCGAAATATCGACAGCGCCTGTTAATGCTAGCCCCGTGCTTGCTATGTTTGCAGTAGTGTCAGTATTCTCTGCTGAGGTTGCTTCCTGCTTGACCTTCTTCCCGTCAACTGCTCCTCCCGGTGCCCTGCATCTTTTCCTGTATAGGCGGGGCTCGTAGTCGCCATCTTCGTCTGTGGCCGATGAATCACATCCAGCCATGTCAAACAGCCGGCTGCTGAACTCCTCCCCCTCTGATGCTGCTTCGCTGCAGGAGAGGTCACATGACGCCTTCACTCTCACCTGAAAGGTAATAATGAGAGAAAGGAAGTGCAGTTACACACCGAATCTCCATCTGGCTTCTGCTTGAGTTTCTGATAGACAGAAAACCTGCATGTACCGTGCAGGGGAAGTCTTACAAAAGATGCAATTGATTTGCAATATGGGAATTGTAGGATCCAGTGTTTTTGGAGCGTCACCTGTACTCTACCAGAATAAGTCACAATAAGTCGGGATCTGGCCTTGCCTCTGCTGCATCAATTTTGACCATTCTTTTTAAATGTGTGTCTCTTGCAAGCCCCCCAACTATGTGGAAGTGTGACTGTAAATCACTGGGGCCCCCGTTAAAGGCTGTATGTGTAGAATCTGTGACTCCTACAGGTGGTACCAAAAAAACAGACTTTGGTAGACAGCGAACAGATTACTGCCTCCTTCCAAATCTGCATTTGAACACTAAAAACACCATAACAGGTTTGTAAGACTATCACATTCCAAGGGCTCCTTAAAAATGCAGCCATGAAAGGTGGCACTTTATCTTTCTTTTGGTGATACAACTGGGGTTTCTTTTAGTTTTCAAACTATTTCATTTGTATAAATTTGACATTTGTGACTGCATCTTAAATCCTCTGTAAACCATCCTATCTGGGTAACCTAGAAGTCAGAAGGCCGCAGCTTTGTAGGCTTCTTCCCTCGAGGACTCTTGCCTACAAAGGTGTTGGATGAAGCTTATCACAGTTTACGATAAGCGATGCATTCATCAAATTAGGTGTAGCAAATTTGTCAGGAACACAAACCCTGATGTTTTATGGTAAGTAGTATGGTTGTGCTGAACATATCAAAGCCACTGGTAAATAACAATAAAAAGACAAAATACCTCAAATCTCTGTTTTACCTTATTGGACGGACGTCCTCCGACAATCCTCTCCAGGCCCTGGCTGGTATTCGCTGAGCCTCCGCAGCCGTTGCTACGGTCACTGAGGGGCCAATGGTAGGCGTGTCCAGCACCACAACCCCAAACGGCGACAGGGACACTGCTGGCATGGGGTATGGCCTCCAGTGTAAGTACGTTACCATAGGTACCACAAGTGAGGTGCTGCAGGCTGGGATGAGGTTGCAGATGGTGCCGTGGCTGTGAGCCCAGCGGACGAGTTTACACAGACTGTCAGAGGTGGTCTGAACTGGGTCGGTCATGATAGAAACCTACAGAAGAAAGAGAGAGGGCAAGGTGTCTACAGCCTGCAGTCATTTGTGGTTAGTGTATACATGATGATCTGTTATGGCTGCCAAAATGTAAATAACTTCATGAAAGTTTACTGTGTGATGCCCACAAATGTTTATTTACATCTATAGAACACCAGAAACATTTTCAAAGATTTGTTTTCTCCAGTTGGTTCACCATCTTTTCTTTCCAGCACTACTGAAATTTTTACCCATTTAGCGTATGGCCTATAACGATCCTTCTTCTGAATCTTAAGAAAACTTCCATAAATATCTAAGGGAATATATTGTGTGTATTGTGCTGCTTGTCAGTCTTGGTTTGCTCAGACGTTTTAATTTACTCTCAACTACCCTTGACCTAAACTCAAATGGACCTACCCTTTCGAGTAAAGTTTTGCGTAAAACACTGGTTACTTTTTCTGTCATGCCCCCCTGCAAAAGCCCAACAAAGCACGATAGCATCAGCAAACCCTTTTTTTAAAAATTTTTTTATTTCCCTTTATAAATTATATTCATTCAACTTAGTTCCACTAAATATTTTTGTCCTGTTCATCCACATTCCCCCTGCAGAAGCTCTATGTGTTTATTTGTCAAAATGTGTAGCCACATCAGGGCAGTAAAAAGGGCAGGCGTCTATTTGGATCTAGGCTTTTAACTGAAGTTGTACGATACTTGACATACATTATTTTACACAAGACGTGTAAACTACGTACAGGGGGGCTTGCACCCCAGTTCGAGAACCACTGGTTTAAAACATTGCAAGGCTCAGGTCGCCTCCCTCAAATTAATGTAAGGGTTTGCTTAAATGAATATAGAATTTCTTTAACAATAAAACATGCAATAACTGCCTTAATAAATTTGGGCTGCAACTAGCGATTATTTTCATTAACGATTAATCTGCAGATTATTGTCTCCTTAATTCAATTAATCATTTTCAATTAATAGCCAGTTAACCACTTCATCAATTAACAGCCCAAGATGACAACTTAAAATGTCTTGTTTTGTAAGAATAACAGTCCAAAACCCAAAAGGATTCACTTTACCTTTATTATGTGTGACAGAGAAAAAGCATCAAATTCTTACATCTGAGAGGGTGGAACCAGCAAATGTTTAATTAATGATTAAACCAATTATCAAAAGAGTTTATTTTGGTCTGTTCATTTAGTGTGGATTAATCCCTTTCTTCCATCAGCCACATACAGGATCTCAGTGGTCTGTAGCTTGAACCTACAGGTTCTTAGAGGGGGACTTGTTACTCTTGATTTATTATAGACGTCTGCACAAGTTTCCTTTGTGTTATTCCCATCCTAAAATATTATTAAATATTAGACTAACACTACTTGCATACTATCAATATTGAAACCTTTAATATGATTTAGAATATCTAGTGTAGGTGAAAGTTAATGTGATTAAAGAAGGCAAAATGATCACATTTATAAAAACAGTGATTAACATCACAATGTTACAAGCCATTATGAGATAGGTTTATACTAATAGCCCAATGTGTAGGCTAGGTTACATCTTCATGTTTACAGTTTAAATGTGCAGTCCACACGCACGCATACGCACTCGCACAATAACATACAGCTGGATGAGTGAGTCGATCATGCACTCTCACTTGAAACTAAACTCAAACTACCATCGGGAACAAAAAGACAGTGTTGTCCATCAATCAGACGGTCTACGTGTCTCACATCAGTCGTCAGAGCAGGCAAACCATAATCCACAAGGCACAAGACCAAAGCTCCTACAGCCCAACATGTCTCATATTTAACGTTACCTCTTTTATTAGTAATTAAAACATTCCAGCTGTGAGTCCAGGTAGGGTTCACGCAAGCAGTAACCTCGGTGACTGGAAAAGCCAACGCGGAAAAGCCAAAACGGCCACTCGAGCCTGGCTCCAAATGCGACTCAATGGTTAATTACCATAAATCCTAACGTTAAAAGAAACAGATTTACAGCAGAAATAAACAATGTTTACAGCCGGGTACAAAAACGGTTTTGGTCTCTATAATAATTTCCCCGTTCCATCTTGTTATGACGCAAATAATGTATCATGAATATCATATATGTACAGCATTTGCTTAATTATCACATTCTTTGTCTGGAAGGTTTAACATCGACAGAACCCAACGTCAAAGTCGCTTTACTGCCAGGACCTGGACAGGAGGAGGAACTGCTGTCTCCCATCACTATGTGATGATGAACACTGACCTCTAGTGGCCGGGGTGGATCAACGCACCCAGCCACATACAAATGATCTTATCTTGTCTTATCCATCTTATATTATATAATATCTTCCCCCAATAATCAATGAAACAAGGGAATGCTGTGACAACAATTCTATTAAATGACAATTTTTCATACAGTTTTAAGGGGTTTTGCAGGTTCTAGGGGGAAATTTATTTTCAAATTAGTACCATATGCCTAAAAAGAATTGAAATTGAAAATATATGGAATGTTTGTAATTCGTAGCTGCAAAAACTTGCCCAAAAGTAGCTTTTCTGGCAGTTTTTTTGGGCAAGTTTTGAGCTAATTTAAATTAGGGCAAATTACTTCCCCTGATTGTTTAATCTTCTGTGCAAGATGATGTAGGCCTATGTGCAGTGTTTGACACCAGAAGGCTGTTTTCCAAAAGTCCCACATTTCTATATTGAAATGACTACCGATTGATACTTCTGGTGTTGCATATTCTAAATATTGAGGTTTTATAAAAGCACATTGCTCCATAATTTCTGCAACTGCGACCGATAGGTCATTTGGTTCACAAGTATGACTAGGCCTACATACAAACACGACGATACATTTATACGATGCCCTTAAGATGGAGCTTTCAAAAAGGGAGGGTTTCCATGTATGAATTCGGTGATTTAACTGAACCTGCCCCTGGCTCCACCCTCCGCTAGTCAGCCAGTCTACTACGTGTTAGACTGTAGCCTTTAACTTACATGGAGAGAGAAGAGGATAAAAAAATAGCCTACTTTAACAGGCTGTGTCTGGAGGAATAGCCTACTTCAGCTACACAGTCGCAAATTCATCAAACTCTAACCGGCAGTTTCCTCTGCGTTTTCCGACTTTGATGAAGTTCTGCATGGAAACAAATGATATTTGAACCCGCGGACCGGAGCGGACAGTGGAGGTGAGTGTCGGATACAAGCCTGCCTGTTTGTGTTCTTGTTCTTATATGCACGAATCTCGGATACAAGACTGTTTGATTGTGACACAAGTGGAAAAAATAGACCAGTTGTTGCTGCTGCTTGATCTAAATCTGACCCAAGTTTCAGAGAGCTCTTAAAGGCTTAATCCGGGAGCAGAGGGAAGTTCTTGGGCAACAAAGACCTGGACACAGAAACAAAAAAGACACAAGCATTATTAGTTAAAGTATGGCATTAAAGGCCAGAGTCTTGTATGACTTCCACTCTGAAAACCCAGGGGAGATCTCCATAACAGAGAATGAGCTGGTGACTCTGTTCAATGAGGAGGAGCTGGAGGGCTGGCTTGAGGGGGAGAACAGCAGGGGGGAGGCTGGCCTCTTCCCTGCATCTTATGTGGAGATCATCAGGGAGCACATCACCTCCAACACCAACAACAACGGCTTGTCCTCGCCCAAAATCAAAGTCCAGACACCCACCCACACTTCCTACACTTCCCCAGACTCCCAGTCTCAGAGAGGACTCGGGGCCGGTAGTGGTGGCAGTGGCGGGGGCAGCTTCCGCACCAGCCAGGGCAGTGATGACGACTGGGACGACGACTGGGACGACAGCTCTACTGCTACCGATGCGCCTCATGGTTTCGGCAGCACGCCGCCCTTGTACCCGGTGACGTCCTCCTTGCCCGGGCGACGTTCCAGCACCCAGCAGCATCAGCAGCAGGCCAAGAGCTCAGCAACAGTGGGGAGGAACCTCAACAGGTTCTCCACCTTCGTCAAGTCCGGAGGGGAGGCCTTCCTGCTTGGGGAGGCCTCTGCTTTTGTGAAGGACGGGGATAGGATCTTCGTGGTGATGGGGAAGCATGGGCCGGAGTGGCAGGAGGACCCCTATCCTTTCACATGCACCATTGACGACCCCACCAAGCAGACCAAGTTCAAAGGCATGAAGAGCTACATGTCCTACGGCCTGACTCCAACGCACACTAATGTACAAGTCAACCGCAGGTACAGGCCGTCTTCTTCCTTCTCCTCCTCATCCTCTCCCCTCTGGGGCTTGTTTCTTCACCGGATCCCCCCCACACACACACTTAAAATAAATGTTCCTGTGGCTTTTCCTGTGTCCACAATTGTTCCCACAAAAACAGAGCTGACTGTGGCCTTTCTGCCCTCTGGAGTCCTCAGGAATCTCCCCTTCCTTTTCTGAGATTCCCCCTCCACCTTTCACATTGTTTGCCTTGTTACACTTACTCCCTAACATTTCAGTTTACACTTCATCCTGCGGAGGAAAAGTTCTTCTTCCCCTTTGTTTTCCACTCCTTCTCACTACTTTTTCACTTACTTTTTTTCACCAAACCTTCTCCCTCCCTTCTCATCCACTCAAAAATGTCCACATAATTCCTCCCACGTGTCTCCCCTTTAATCATCCCTGCAGGTATAAACACTTCGACTGGCTGTACGCTCGGCTCGTGGAGCGTTTCCCCGTCATCTCGGTGCCCCACCTGCCGGAGAAGCAGGCCACCGGCCGCTTCGAAGAGGACTTCATCTCCAAGCGGAGGAAGGGACTGATCTGGTGGATGAACCACATGACCAGCCACCCAGTGCTGGCACGCTGTGATGTTTTCCAACATTTCTTGACATGCGGGCAGATGAGAAGGCCTGGAAACAGGGCAAGAGGAAGGCAGAGAGGGACGATCTGGTCGGGGCCAATTTCTTCCTCACAATCAGGTAGGAGGCTGTACTGCAGAAGTTGTGGGTTTGAATCCCGGATCAGAATGTGATGGTTGAATCCAGCTGGTTTTTTTGTACATGCCTATTGCAGCCTATAATGAAAGTGAGATGGCTGTGGGTTGCTGTGTAATAAAGATAAATGATATTTCCATCAGCTCCAGTGGAGATGCACAAGCCTTTCATTAATCTAAAGCACCATGTTTGATGTTAGGCACTTGCAATTCAAGAACAAGGGCTTCTTTCTGGAGCCACCATTTTCCAAGAGCCTTCAACAGTTATACAATAAGGCAAAGAAGAGGTATAGAGACCAACATCTACACTAATAAGAGCAGGACATAGACCAAAATGCAATCCTGCTACAACACCTATCGGGTTTTCAATAAGGGCCATGGTCCTCACCTTCTTAACTTGAAAAACTATTATTCTCGTTGCTCTATTGTCATCACTATAACATGCACACTCCACGTCTATAAGCCACTGAACATATCAGGTTGCAGCACATTCTCTGGAGATTGTAAAAGGCATCCTGGGAAATGTAAGCAATCATTACCTGAAGTAAAGTATGTGGCAAGTTGAGGGAAAGAAGGTACACCAAAAAACCATAAATAACAGCACTTTTGCTCTCACATGTTTGTATTATTAAGATGATGTAATGCTTGAATTAAAGGATTTTCAAAATAAAGCCATAAGGTCATAAAATTATCTCCTCTTTAGCACGCCTGCTGTCCCTCTGGACCTCCAGGAAGTGGAGAGCAAGATCGAAGGCTTCAAGACCTTCACCAAGAGGATGGACGAGAACAGTGTGGTCGTGAATACCACCATCAACGAGTTTGCTCGCAAACAGATGGCGGGGTTTAAGAAGGAGTACCAGAAAGTCGGACAATCCTTCAAGCTCCTGGCACAGGCGTTCGAGCTGGACCAGCAGGCCTACTCTGCTGGCCTGAACAAAGCCATTGCGGACACTGGCGAAGCTTACGAGGCGATAGGAGAGTATTTTGCCGAGCAGCCGCGCCACGACCTGGATCCCATCTCTGACCTGCTGGACCTCTACAGAGGACACCTGGCCAACTTTCCTGATATCATCCATGTGCAGAAAGGTGGGAAAGTGTGTGTGTGTGTGTGTGTGTGTGCACTCTGTAACTAGAACCACATTTTGCCAGATACTATAAATGTAAGCACAGGGAGAAATTGTGCAGTGCTGTGGCAAGCAATGACAGATGTGAAAGGAGGTACTGATTTTAAAAAATGCATTAAACCTCCAACATGCTTGCAAGAAGTGAAACAGATGCAGGACCTTGCATACTTCTCTTCACAGAGAGGTCAGAGGCCAAGGGTTAGCTTCTATGGTGGGGAGTGAGTGGTCAGGACTCTTACTCATGGATGCCTCTGCAGGGTGGAGGGTTTGAATCTAGGGAGGAGTCAGAACAAAACCAGGCCTCACGCTCTCGAGTTTCCATCCTGCAGGCTGTATAATCTCCTCTGGAACAAAAGACACACATTTATTTATTCTTACTTGCATTAAAAAATAATTAATGACGTTTCCAAAAGCTGTCCAGACTGCAGCCTCCCTTTCTGACAGAGAGCCAGATACTGTTTCAGCATCTGTTTTCATTTTACCGGATCGCAGTCCAGTCCATTGTAACACTGGGTACTGAGAGAGCCTGTCCTCGCTCATGAGGAAAACACAAACGCAGAAAAACATAGACTCACATGGGCATGTACAAAAGACTTGCAGAGGAGTTAGCTTGTTAGTTTGCCGCAGGTTGGGAGGAGGGAGTTGCTCCTGGCACGCAAAGTCCTGATTTTTGCCAAACCTAGAGGCACTGTTTCTATAGTCCTCAGAGCTCTGTTCTCTAGATACAATCACAGCTTCGAACTATGGAAACACAGTCTGAATCCCAATAGTCCCTGAGACTGACGGGACTTCACCTACTTTCTGACTTTGTTTTCTGTCCCTGAAAGAGAAGAACATTTCCTTCACTTCTGCTGCACTGGAAGATACTCATACTATTTAAGTTTTGACTAATAAGCTTAAGTTTAAATCTATTACTTAATTTATGTTATATTTAAAAATAATACATTTCTCTGTGGCGCATGATCTTGAAATGTGTAATTATTTGTATGAAACGAGTCAAAGAGCATTGGAGCTGAATGATTTAAACCAGGCAAAGAACACTTTCTTGTACTTAGTGAAACTTGGAAACTTTACCTAAATCTTTACTAAGCTAATTTAACTAAAACTGATCTTTACCCTCAAAACTGACCCAAACTTAAACCTAAATTGATATCAAGGGAATCCCTTTCTGCTTTCATAGGATCTCACGCAAAGTACTGTCATCCTTTTTGGGTACCAGCATGGCTTTTCACTTCCAGAAACCATAGCTAGCGAAGCTTTATGAGAAAACTAATGAGATTTGTGGAAGAAAGGGAAACGGCAGTCTTTCTTCTTTCAG